AAGTGGGGATAATAGTTCTCTTTGACCTCACAGATGTTTTGTCAGGTTGACTCCATTAATTCTGAGGCATCCAAGTATGCCAGTGGGTACTTATCTCTCACCAGTATTTCAACAGCCCGTGTGCTTCAGTGCTTTTTGTCAAAGCCAAAACCACTACAGTCTCTTCCTGACTTTTAAAAACTGCATTTTGTAACCTGACTGTTCTCTTAACATAGAAGTTTTTTCTTATGGAATTGTTACTAGCTAAATATAGACAAAATCTTAAATCCACTTAAGCTTCAAAAAACAGTGGAGCTGAAGTAATAGTTTGTATATGGTAAATATAGCTTCTGTCTGTGTTTGACAGAAAGAAATATCCAAATAATTATGGCTTGGAAATGATTCGGTGTAGGAAACCACCCTGAAAACTGTCCATTTCATTTCTGCCAGCATATTAAGCAGGAGCTGACACTCCTGTTTTCAATCCTTGATGATACAGGCCTTTGACTATCATAAGATCAGCAGTAAGATGTTTTAAAGCAGTTGTACAAATTTCTTTCCTTGGCTGGGCACAGCCATACAGTGCTGGGCATCCCTTTATTCACCTGTTTGTTCACTGTTTCAGGTGGCACTGCCAGAGCAGCATTCCCAGTGGCTGCCAGCTCTGGAACTGCTCTAGAAGCATTATGCTCTGTTGTACTAAGGCATGCTTTCTTTCTTATCACTTTTCCTTTCTACTTCAAAACCAGACATTTCTAATGAGAAAACTAGAGTTATTAAAAACCCACCTAATTTTTCTAAATTAATCAAGATTGTGGAAAATAAATTATTGATTCTAGAAAGTATAGTTATGATGTGCTATAATGATTAGACAACTGCTTATTTTATTTCTAATAAAGCTTTCCAGTTTCTATTGCATTTCTCAAAGGGAATATAATTTTCATAGTGAAACCTGCCAAGACTGAATTAATACTTCATATAGCTTTTTTACATTTCCTTATCAGCTCAGTCTAAGACAAGAGCATGTCTGTAACACTTGCTTAAATGCCTTTGCTATGAATTTATAGTCTTTATGTTATCTATTGCGAGACAAATAAATGCAAATTATATATCTATACTTCATTATATGCCATTTTCCAGACCCTCCACTGCATTTAGGTTACTTTTTTGAAAGCACATATATAGAAAAATCTTTTTTTTTAGCATACTGCAACAAACTATTTGTCTCATTTTTATGGGTGGTATTAGAGGTTAGAAATCACAAACTTAGGGAAACTCGAGACAGAAATCTGAGACAGTTTAAAAAGCATTCAGTGTTTTCATGTCAAAGATGAATGTATGATTGAAAAGTCTCTTTCTCACGCTCAGGAAAGCTAAGAAATTCCAGATATTTGGGAGGGTCCTACAAAGGAAGGATTTTTGGCTTCTCCTTTCAGCATATTTCACATTTTTAGGCAAGCTTAGAGCACTTTTTTTTAGCCACCGGAAATGACCATAGTATCACAACATTTTCATTTTTCCTAAACTTTGCTTTTGTCAGCATTTATACTGACAAGTGGTAAACTGTAACTACCTGTTTCTCAGGTAGAGGCAGGTATTCTGGTCTTTGAAAACCAGAACTTGCAGTTAGGGATAAACATTCAAGTACTGGAAAGCTTCACAGAAGGCATGGTAAAACAACATTTCCATGCTCCAACCTTTAAACAGCAAATTACTGAATAGGCATATAGACCAGAGACTTCATATTTGTGGGTTTTTCCCCTCACTGTAACAACATTAGAAAGATTTTTTGAGCTCATTCATAATGAACTCGTTCCCTTCATCCCTTTGCTGCCTTATACTACAAAACGTGACTTCCTTTTCCCTTCAAACAGAACAAAGAATAAAGGTGCAGATCCTCTGCTATATTAAGGTCTAATTGTGGTGACATCTGCAGGCTCCAGTGTCAATTATCATGTATTTGCACATTTAGGTGCTTTCTTATACTACTTTCCCTGTCTTTACCTTGCCTGGAAGATGCCTGTTGGTCCCAAAGTGTGACAGTAACAAGTGTAGGACCAATAAAGGACAGTTTGTGCCAAGGACTGTTTAGCTTCCCAGAGAAGTCTATTACTGCAAAGAACAGTGACACTGAAGTATTATATCATGCTTCTTTAGGTTTGGCTGCTTTGGAAGCAACTAGAGGTAACCAGTAAAAGAGTTCTGTGTCAGTGCAAGGCAGTTACATCAGGGTAACAACATAATAGAGAAAGTAAGTCACAATAAATACACTTTTTTCTTTTTAGTTGGGGAAAATAGCTTTCAAAACTTTAATGGACTGTAAATATTAATATTTTAAGCAATATTAGTCAGAGCCACAACTTCAGTGGTTCCACAACAACTGGAGTTTGAACAAATAGCCAAAACATGTAAGTTTCTGTTATCTTTATGCTTCTACGCCAGTTTTTAAATGGACTGTAAATATGAATGAATTTAAGCAATGTTGATGAGAGCCACAACCAGAGTACTGGAGTTTGAACAAATAGCCAAAACATATGATAAGTTTCTGTTATCTTTATGCTTCTACGCCAGTTTCATCTGACAGCAAAAGCAGAAAAACACAGAACCAAGATAAGACAAGTCAGCCCATCCATTTGTTATGGCCCAAGCTGAACTGTCAGTGTAACTGTAGGGATTTACTGCTTCATGCTGTATTCCTGCAGGGGTTTTGATGCTACACTTAGTGCATTAAAACCAGGCCTACCATCAATGTACTTAGATTTCAAGCTCAGCAGTTGTACTTCCTTCCACTGCTGAACTGTCACTCACCAGCACAGCTGTATTGCAGAATCTGAACAGTACAGTGAGTTGTGAATTGCACCTGCACTAAGAAGTAGTCAGAACGCAAGCTTCAGGGTCATCCCACCATTATTGTCTTTTGTGGGGATGTTAGATGGTGACTGCACCAACTTTTTAGACTGTAATTTCACTATTAACTTTGGCTAAAATTTCCCAGACCCAGTTTCCCCTTATGCTGCTTTAAAACGTTTTAGACTTGATACGAGTTAAAGTTATTTTTTACATTAGTATGATAGCTGAAGAAGCTCTCTAAAGGATGCTGTGCAACCCATTCCATATCTGGAAAAGAAGCAAATTCTTAAAGGTAGAGGAAAGACTATTTTACAAGCCACCTAAAAGCTTTTCAAGGTGAAAAATATTATCCATGCTTTAAATTAGTACTATCAAATTTGAGTAGGAATTCCATTTCCTTTAAGCATTTGCAAAACACCTGTCAAGTAATACCCACAAACGTAAATTTTGGGTAAGATATGCTGAAAAAAATAGATAGAACCATCTAATTTGTTCTATTCAACCTTAAAAGCAAGTTATAGCAGTCAATCCACATTGATACATTACTTTTTACTGTGTACACGTGTGGTGTCAGTGGAGGAAGATGTTTCTACCCACTGTTCAGCTTCATTGCCAAAGAAACTGAACAGGTTAAGTATGTGCACCAAGAACCGAGCGCTTTCAGACCCAAATCATAAAGAATTTCAGATGACTGCCATTTCACAGAGCTACTAGCACAACAAGGTAAATTAAATGCCCCAAGCTAAGCTTCTCCCTCCTCTCAATTACTTTGTTAAGCCACATCAATTCTTCAGCGGGAAGCGTCAAGCTTCCTGTGGGTGGGTCCTTGATCTGTCTCGAAATTACCTACCACAAAAAATAATCCTCATCAACTTCATCTAGTTGATGCTGAGGCTATGGCAAGGCAAATAGGAACAGGCACCAAGACAGCTCCATGATGGAGCACACAACAGTAGTGGAAATCTCTTTCCCCAACAGCAATTTAGAACTCTTTCTGGAACACAAAGAGTAGGTGCAAACACCAATAAACGCGTTTCAGATCTACGACTTAAAGTTAAAATAGCCACATTTAAATTCTAACCTCCGGGATGCTGCAAGGCAGTTCTCAGAAGCATAGGATACGTGGTCAGATACACACGGAACCTTCCCATCACAGCACAGAAGCAGTGCGTGTTGCCAGCAAGCAGCGTGCAAACACAGCAGGATTTAACCCGCTTGCTTAAGGACTGCAAGACTGCAGTTGTGAACTCAGTCGAACTTCCCCAGCAGGGACACACTTGGGACATTTTAGAAGTCGACTTTACAAATAAGTAAATAAAACAACTACGCGCCTTGCAAACTCTGCGGTACCATAGATGCGAGCTCGGGGTATTTTTGCGTTTCGGCGGCAGTCACACTAAGAGATGAGCTACCGATTTCCCGGCTGGATTCCTTCTGGAGCCCGCCAGCCAAGGGGCTGGGCGAGGGCGGGGATCCCGGGGGTCCCGTTTCAGATCTATGACTTAAAATTAAAATAGCCGCATTTAAATTCTAATCTCCGGGATTCTGCAAGGCAGTTCTCAGAAGCATAGGATACGTGGTCAGATACACACGGAACCTTCCCATCACAGCACAGAAGCAGTGCGTGTTGCCAGCAAGCAGCGTGCAAACACAGCAGGATTTAACCCGCTTGCTTAAGGACTGCAAGACTGCAGTTGTGAACTCAGTCGAACTTCCCCAGCAGGGACACACTTGGGACATTTTAGAAGTCGACTTTACAAATAAGTAAATAAAACAACTACGCGCCTTTCAAACCCTGCGGTACCACAGATGCGAGCTCGGGGTATTTTTACGTTTCGGCGGCAGTCACACTAAGAGATGAGCTACCGATTTCCCGGCTGGATTCCTTCTGGAGCCCGCCAGCCAAGGGGCTGGGCGAGGGCGGGGATCCCGGGGGAGAGAGGGATAGAGGGCTGCCGTGCCCCAGGTACCTGCGGGGCAGGTGTCGCGGCGGGACACCGGGATCACGGCAGGTAACCGGGATCGCGTTAACCGCCTCCCCCGCGGCAGGGAGGGGCGCTCCGGGCGGCGGGACACCCCTGTCACGGACAGGTCACGGACAGGTCACGGACAGGGCCCGGAGAGGCCCCGGCACCGCCAGGACCCGCGGGCGGCGCCCCCGCCCTCAGCCGCGCCCGCGAGCGCCGCCCCGCGCGCCTCTCCCGCCCGAGCCGAATTTAAACTGCGTTACTGTCCCTCGCGCAAAGCACCAACGCCGCTGCTCCCGCGCGTCCCGCCCCCTTTCCGCCCGCCAGCCAATAGCGGGGCCGCTTCGTTGCCCTCCCCGCCAATCAGGGCGCAGTTTATTGCTGGCTGGGAAGAAGCGCTCGGTGCGCGCGCCCGCCCGCTGTGGAGCTGGTCCCTGGCGCGGAGCAGGCGAGTCCTCCTCCCGCTCCCCCGCCCCTTCTCCCCGCGCTTTGTTGGTGCCTCTCCCGGGAGAGCGGCGGCGGCTGCGGCCGGCGGCGATGCCCGAGTTCCTGGCCGATCCGTCGGTGCTGACCAAGGAGAAGCTGAAGAGCGAGCTGATCGCTAACAATGTGAGCCTCCCGGGCGGCGAGCAGCGCAAGGACGTGTACGTGCAGCTCTACCTGCAGCACCTCACCGCCCGCAACCCGCCCGCCCTCGCGCAGCCCGACTTTTCCAGCGACGAGGAGCGGGAGCCCACGCCTCTCGGCGCCCGGAGCCGCGGAGCTGCTGCCGCCGGGCGGGTGAGTACCGCTGCCTCCTGCCCGCGCCGCCTCGGCTTCCCGGCAGCCTCGGGCCCGCTTTCCCGCCCGAACGGGGCCGGCCGCCTCCGCCCGCCGCGCGGCTCGGCGAGCGGCACAACGCGCCGGGGTGCCCGCACGCGGTCCGGAGAGTCTCCGGCTGGGACGGCGGGTCGGTGCCGGGGGCCGCCGGCTGCTCCTCCGGGCACCCTGAGCGCCCTTGGGGGCGGCTGGCTCGGGGGCACGGGCAGCGCGTGGAGAGTGCCACTGTAAATTGGGAAAGCTTTACTGCAGCTTGGCGAGCGGTGTCCTAAGGAGAGTGTTTCGGTGTAGAGGGAACGAAGCGAGAGAACTGCACGAGGTTGTAACTTGCTCGGGAAGGGACTCCGGTCCGCTGTCTCGGTTGTACGGCGGCAACGCTACTCGGTGTAAATGCCTGTAAATGAAAGGATGAAGCTGTGGGGAACAGCTGGTTTGTTTCGCTTAATGAAGCAGACTGTTTAGTGTAAAGAGGGTCTGCGTGATGTACACATCTTGCTCGTACCTCTGAGATGTGTATCACAGCAAAGCGCCTCTGCTGCCTGTTCAGTTAGTCCACTGTGCTTGTTTTCTTAGACTTCACACATGTGAGGAAGGAGGGAAAGCTGATGCTATTTGAAATTTTTGTCTTTGGGAAGCTGTGATTTCTTTCTTCGCTTTTCATAAGTGGACTATAAATTTGCATATCTTGAGAAAGCAGTCTTGTAATTGATAATTGTAAGATGTGTGATCTCGAGGAAAGGCTTGGATAATGATTATCAGCTTCCGGAGTCCTAATGCGTGTGATAGTGAAACTATTTAATTGTATCTTAGATACTATGTTTCAAAGGTCATTAGTTAAGGGAGTGCCGAAAAATTGAGTCCTTTTGAAGGTCTTTCACTTTCATGCTTTAACCTTCAAAAGCCCAAGAGAACAGTTCTTGAATTAAAAAATTAAAAACTACAACTTCAAGAATAAGGGATCTCTGAAACCAAGTTATTTACCTTAGCATCTGTCTATTTCAGACACTTAACTGGCATTCACTGAATGCAGGTGCAGTGAAACAGACATTTCTCGGACTTAGCGTGGTCTGCTGATAGCATTCGTAAGGTGCTTTTGAGTAAAACAGGATGAGCTTGAATCTGACTTGTTTCATGCTTGTCGGAGGAGGAACACCTCAGAACTGCTAGTTCCTATCCCAGATCAGAGTTTTCCTTTCCACAGTGCTTAAGTTTAAACAATTATGGGTGACTTTTTTGATGTTTACAGAATGGGTGGTACTCCTACACTTTTGTTAACAATGTCTGGAAGGCTCTGTGCTATTTATGCTTATCTTGTGTGTTAGTATCAGCACACTGTATCATCAGAAGTTCCAGAACTTCAGCAAAAAAACTTCTCTCTGTAGTGACAGCTGATCAGATTTGGGTTTCTTGTGCCCTGTGTTTTGTCACCATCCCCTTGAGCTACCCCCCCAACAACCAACCCCAGCCAAAACACTCAGAAAAATCCCAAGCAAAACAAACTTGGATGATTGTGTGCTTGTTGCCTTCGTTGTGCCACTTGAGTAGTCCTGCAACTGCTTGTAGCCAGAGTAAGTGTTGTCCCTGTCAATGTCTTTTGGCATAAGGGGGTTTCTCTGATCAGGTGTCCTTCAAAAAGATTAGCACACACGTCTCCAGAGCAATTTGCTCCCAGAACAATTGGAAAGAGGAGGAAGAGTGAGGGAAGGCTGACATCCCAGGGGACTGGGATTCTGGTGAAAAACCAAAGCAAAATATCTTAATAAGATTGAGAGGACAGGAGGGAAAGCACTCAGACGTCTGAAAGTTAGAAACAGTGGGCAAGGGAGGCAGCTGGAACTGCAAGGATTTATGGAAAGGAGGAATAAAGTAAAAGAACGGGCCTTCCCCCGCCCCTCTGTGGGCCCGCTCGTCCTTCCCGTTACCGAGCAGATATTCGGGAGCGCAGGAGCCGGCCGGCCGCCAGGGGGCGCGCTCAGCCGGTGCCGTGGGCTCCTGCAGGGGACAGGCTTCGCTTTCCTCACAGCGGGTGTGAGCAGCAAGTGCAGAGGGGTCATCTCAATGGCCGTGCTGCAGCCGCTGAAAGCTACACCCGGTCCCTTAGTACTGGCATTAGAGCTTTGACATGGCTGTGGTCATTAGTAGTTTTGAACTGTCTACACTGTCGTTTTAGTGGGGTTTTTCCAAGTTCTGAACATTGGATAATGCGTTTAGGTGCATGTTTTCTATTAATAAAAGCTGTGCAGAGACAAAATCCTGTAGTTTGAATTATTTTCTAAATTATGTTTTTTGAATCCATCACTCTTCTGGCTTAGCTCTATCCAGCCCAAGAATATATAGGTCACTTTGGCTACCTATTCTTACCAGAACAGGAAAAGCTTTTAAAATCATGCCCTTTTGTGCCTCAGTCTGATAATATTGTCTGGAGGAGCCAGCTTCTCCAGCTCTACTAATGTTTTTGAGCAACTCTTTTACTTTTTTCCCTTAAGCCTGTTTAGCATAGTGGTATGTGAGGACAGTGACTAGGTATGTAAGACACTGTTTTGCTGCATCTGAATGCTCCTTGTCCTGCTTAGTTATGGGCTGAATGTCAGCAAAGATAGCTCACAGGAAAAGTAACTATGAAATTACATTTTTGCCTCCCTAGGACCATTGTTTTAAAGCATGTACCAAAACTATTGTCTTGATGCTGTTGTCAAACAGGAACTGTTCAGAGTTTAGAATGCATAGATTGTTATGCCTGAGCTTGTTGTGTGTTTCATGTCCTGGAAGAATCACTTCTAAAGCATATATTGAGCGATAATTTTGACCTTTAAAGTGATTATATGAAAAAGATCAGTCAAATGTTAATGAAGGTATGAGAACATCTGGACCTGAAGGGCCTGTTTGAAAGGTCATACATGGGACCTATCAGGTAAGGATGTTTGGTTTGATGAGGTGAGGGGGGAAGAGTTGTTTGTTTGGATTGAGGTTTTTTGTTCTGATCAAGTAATTAAGTAAATAAAGAGCAGCTTCAGCTCATCATAGCTGGAATGCTGTCGTTGTGATATCTGTACCTGAGGTAACAACAGCTTCAATGCCTTTCCTACTGGAGAGGAGAAAGTAATAGTAAAACTGGTAGTTTATGAAGATTACGTTTGTGGAAAGTGTACTGGATAGGTGAGGCAGTGTAAAGCATCTGTGCATGCCCAGTGAAGGCAGGGAATCTGTTCGGTGTTTCCTGTGTGGCTGTGTGTCTTCATTACAATGTGCCACACAAACCTTCGCCCAGCAAACAGTTTAAATCCTTTGTGGCCTTTTAAAAAGCGCTCATCTGCTGGCTGAGAGAAAGCTGAAATAAGATGACAAAGTAATTCCCACTACAGTGAGAAGTCCTGCCAGGCTGTTCTGCACCTTCAGACTTTGAGTGGGTGCATTTCCTTCACCAAGTAACATGGAAATTAGTGTCTGGGAGGAGAAGGGGGTGGAAAGGTTGAATAGTCCATAATCTTATAATTTATGACTGTTACTGTACATAGGCTTGGAAATTTTAAGTCTGGCACTTACTAATTAAGGTTAAAAGGTAGTGAATTCTCCAAGTTGCATGTATCGGTATCTTTTGAATTGCTGCTGCATAATTCCCTTTCCATTGTTTATTTTGTCGGTCCTGTAGCTCTTGGTAAATATTGTCTCCAGGCCTTTAAGGTTAAAAAGTTCAGGAGGACTTGATTTTTATAAAAGGAAATTATATTGGAGGAAATGATTGTGTATGGTAGAATAAAAAGTACAAGGGGAATAAAGACCTATCTATTTTACAATATAAATCTATTATTAATACTTTGCATATCCAGCTCCTTCAGCTCTCCTAAGAGAAATAGTTATTTGTTACCAGAGGGAACTCTGCAAACTGGAGAATTAAACAACATTCTTCTGATGTGATTTGGGCTTTCTTTAGCCTATCTTAACCTCATTCAGAGAAATTGTAAATAAGCCCTGACCCTTTCTGTGTCTAGTAATGAATCTGTGCCTGTTTGGGATTAAAATCCTTGTGTATCCTGATGTAGATACCATTTAATTTGGGATTTGAAAATAGTTTTTGGTGATGTCCCATAGTTGTTGGTTTTATTATTTAACAGCTTCTTCAACATGGTTCTTATGCTTGTCTTTGGGACAGTGCTAGGACTAGTACAGGCACTTAGGGAGTTTGCCTAATTAAGCTGATTTCTGGCTGTTAATTTCTATTCAGCAGGAATGCCTAAGGTAAGGGGTAGGTTCTAAGGCTGAATTCTGGTTGTTTGCATTGTCTGCTGTTCTTGCTAGCAAAAGAATGAGAAAGCTTTGTGCTGTCAAGAGATGATACTTGGAGAAGATGAACTTCTCTTATGCTGTTGTTTTTCTGTGGCCCTGGTACTGAGAATGCTGTGTGGCAGCCTCGTGCTTATAATTCACTTCAGTGCTTGTTTGAAGAGTTAGTTCCTAGGCAATTGGAAACAGAGCCTGACAGATACCACTACCAAATTGCTGTTTCTGATGTGAACAAATCTCTCTCAAGTGAACTATGCAGATAATCTTCTATCTTTTGTTTTCTAGAAAATAGCAATGACTAGAAATATTTTTTTTTTATGCTGTGAGCTGTGAATCGGATTAGGAGATCTTCAGATAAGGATTTATTGATTTGAGTATATTGTTGCAAAAATATTTACATAGGCTTGGGTGTATTATCTGCAAAAATACTTACATATGGGTAAAATGGTCAGTGGCACTACCTTACAATGGCAAATTCTGCCACAATTTCATTTCAAGCACTTCATCTCTGCACCACCGTAAGACAAATTTTGTTAGTGGTCTTGAAACAGGTAAATGAGGGTGTGGGGTTTGTTTGTTTGTATTTAACTTACAGTGTTAAACTTTTAGGCTAGCTCTTTTTGGTCTGTCTCATGGTGTAGTCCAGCAGACAAGTTGTCCTGATTCACAGGAAGCATAGTGATGCATTTTACTATAATAGCAGTGGTAATTAAATGTAGCGTTGTTGCTGAAGTTGATGCTGTCATACCACAGCTGAGGTGTGAGAAATTCTTCTATCCAGCCTTATGCTTCTAGGAACTCACCTTGTGGTCCAGTGAATGGTTAGATGGCAGCTTTCTACTTGTAAGAGGGAAGTAATTTGCTCCTGCTCTAAGGAGAATAGGTGTTCAAAAGTAAAAGCTGTGACCTTGCAGAACACAAAATGAACACATCTGGCCCAATTGAAGAACACAGATTGCTTTCAACTTCCTTCATCCCCTCCCTACTCTTTTTCTTTCGTGAAATTGGCTGTTTTGATGATCTCTTTTTCTGACAGTAGTGCAGGAAAAAGTGAAATGGTATTTTGAAGGAAACAAAGCCACAAAGAAACCATGAGATGTGTAAGTTTACTTGTGTTAGAGTACCCTGGTACTCATTAGTTGCAGTTAGATTTCTGGTGGCTAAGATTTCTGTAAAGCATCCAGAATGCTGAGTAGTTTTTCTGGTGTATATTGTTGTAGTCTCGTCTGTGGTCTCCAAGTGAATAAAAGTAGAGATACGTTACATTAGGATTCCAGTTGCTCTAATGTGTTGTTGGAATGCTGATTTGCTGCACCATGGTATTTTTTTTTTCTGAAATATGGACTAGCATCTTGATTAATCTGCTTGGTGATGTGGGCAAACACCAGAGCTGTCATTAGTCTAAACAGATCTCAACAAGAAAACACAGCATTTTTTTCAGAACTTTTTTCTGTTTGGACAGTTCAGTAGTCCAGAAAAAAACACATTTAATATGAAATTAACATTTATGTCAAGTTAAATATTGCATTATGTTATGACAAACATGTTCAAAAGTGAAAAGTCTTGTGCAGATGCAGGTTGATTGTTTCTTGTGTATCGTTCAATTGCTGCAAAAACTAGTTAGGAGTGGAATGTCTGATAAAGTGAGCTGTAAATCTATGTTTGGTCAAATCTGTTTCTTTAATGACCCTATACTTTCTTTGGACTGTTGGGAGGCTATTTCTTAAAGAAATGCCATGATCCTTAGAGATTCTGTTGCTTTTCAGCAGCTGATTTTAAGCTTATCGTGCTGGAATATCCAGAAGTCAGAGGAAAATTTGGAGTCTGATATATTTGGGAAACCCTCATTCAGTCCCTGCTTAGTTTTAAAATACCAAGATATTTGAGGCAAGACCAAGCTTGCATGCAAATAAATACTGAACTTGCATTAATAGCTAGATAGATACTATTAGTTTGTGTAAATCATCTTGAAGTGTTTTGTTGCTATCTTATAAAATGCCACAAGGAGAAGACCTGTTAATCATTACTGAGTGTTTATAGCCATTTGTATTTGGAGTTTGTCTTTTGATAGTACCAAAAAAACCCCCAAAAAACAGATAGGCCCTCTGGACAACTGAGTTGAGAAAAATGCTAAGTGCAGAAATTGTTTCTGTTTATATAATGCAACTTTGAGATACAAATATGAGTTATTTTAAAGCAGTATCAAGGGCTCTCTAGTAAAGAGTATGCAAATCCTAAGCATGCTTTTTTGTGTCTTACCTCTTCACTTTTACAATCTCTATTGTAGCAACAGCGGCTCCCCAAGTTGAAGTGTTATGATCGCTCTGTTTGGATCGAGCGGAAACTGCTAATTTAGGAGTAGCATCTCAGCAGATTATTTTGATAACCATCTGCATGTGGTGATGGTGCATTGCCAAGTGCTCAAGTAGCGTTGCCAGAGTTGGGTTTAGAATTTTTTAGAGCTACAAGTATCAGAGGCCTAAGCAGACAAGCAGGATTTTGAAAATATGAGACTGTTTCTGATTTTTGCCTTTCCTGTACTGACCTTGTAATATCATGTAATCTCACAGAGAATGACAGGACAAGTAATAATAGGGGTTTTGGAAACTTCGTTGAAGGTAGAACTTGTTCCATATCATTAGAGGAGGAAATGACCTATCAGGTAGAAAAATAATGCAAAGAAATGCCAATGTAACATAAATATTTGTAGTTTTGTGTAGTGATAGTGAAATGGCTAGAAGCTTGCTTTTCCAGTCACAGGAAAGCAATTCTTTCCCACTGTGTACTTGAGCTTCAAATGAAAACATAAGACCAGAATGAGTGATTTTAAGAGGAGACTTGTAATGGATATTTCCTTCCTAAGCAGAAAACTGTTTTCTTAGTAGGAGTAAATGTTTATACTGTTTCACATAGGCTTTAGTAGTGGTCATGGATGAGAATAGAATTAATTTCTTCTGGATTTATATGTTTAGTACACTGTTTTTCTGTTCCCTTAGAAGAAAAAGATGTGTTCAGTATTAACTGGAAACACCGTCTCTCATTTGTCCCTCCTGTTCTCAGAAAGCTACAAAGAAAACTGACAAACCCAGACCAGAGGAGAAGGATGGCCTAGATGTAACAGAGATGAGTAATGAAGACCTTCAAGAGCAACTTATGAAGTATGGAGTAAATCCTGGCCCAATTGTAGGTAGGTCAATTGAACTAGTAGATACTAACCTGATTTATTTCTCACCATAGCTCACTTGTAAAGTTTCACTGATACAGTTACTTTTTAGTACAAGTACTGTTGCAATCCTACTTCCCACCTAGGATATTTGCATTGAACTGTTTACATTGAGAAGTCCTGAAGCATTGCAGGTGAGCAAGTCTGCAGTTTGCTTCTCCTGTTCTAGGCCAGCTGGAGATGTTCCAACTTCTTTTCTGAAGCTGTGTAACTATTAGTTAAAGTTCAGTGCTGGAGTAGTTATAGTTAGGTCTTCTGATTCAGAGGTTTAGATCTGGGCCCACTTAACTAGGAAATACGTCTTACATAATAACCTAATAGTATTGAGAGCAGAATGAGAACAGGGAACTTCCCTTTCCCTAGAGCATTTCCTACTCACTGCATTATGCAGTAATGTTTTCCTTTGCTAATGTTTTTCTCTAGCCTAGCATTCTGTCCTGTGTGCTGGCCTATATCAGGAGTAGGCCTGACCCCAGCCTAATCTCCTGCCTTGGGCACTGGTCTGTGATGTCAGATCAAAGTGCCTTGCTTTTCAGGTTGTGCAGTAGCCTAATGGCAAGGGAATTTGATTTCACAACTCTTGGAAAAAGATTGTTGTTTGTAGTATGCAGAGCCTTCTGTGGAATGTTCTTGAAATCCTAGGATGGAAGTGTCCATGACTGAGCCTACAGTCCTGTGTGTATTCAAAGTCTTATCTGTAATATTTTCAGTTAGCTGATTCTGCATGCCTTGCTGTTCATCCTGTACTTCTTGGATAGTACTCAAGAACCTGTGTAGTCCACTGGAAAGGCATTTACATTCAGTCTAATTTATTGCCTTTAATTCTTAGAGGGTATGGACTCTTTCTTGAGAGGCTGCCATTTCTTTTAAATGGTGGTTTCCTCTTATCAGCAAACTTCAAAAGTTAGATTTTTGTTTTCTGCAGCTGACAGCTCAGGCACCAGTCACCTCTACAGATTTTTGCCAACGAAGTCCAGATGTGGAAGTATGTGCTAGACTTAAAATTTTTTAGACAGCTGTCCTCTTGGCTCAAGCAAGCTAACCTGATGGCTAGATGGCAGCAAGCAGAAAATTCTGTTGTTGCTGCTTGCTTGCATTACCTCTGATGCTTATTGGACTGAAGGCAAAGGCAGGGGAATTCATTCCAGGTAAGAGAATTAGAAGAATAATCTGCATGGAAATTGTTGCCCTTGCACTATCAAATTCACTCTTTTTTGGTGAGGGAATAACAACTTGTATATTGCAGCATATGAAACAAAACATCTAATAAGCAGGTACATTCCCTTTCCACAGATTTCCTTTCTATAACTTTCAGCATACAAAGAGGTCTGAGTTTATCTAAGTATTCTCTTAAACTGAAAAGTTAGAGACCTTAGAGGCAGAGTTGTGTACTTAGTATCTGTATCTATACTGTATATCTGTACACATACACACATAGATATATATATATATATAGAGAGAGATACTCTGGGCTGCAGGCAGAGTTGTGTACTTAGTATCTGTACTGTATATCTGTACACATACACACATAGATATATATATATATAGAGAGAGATACTCTGGGCTGATTAAAAATAAATAAAACAGTATGTTCAGAAATTCCCAAAGAATATGTAACAGCCAAGTTCTATCAGTCAAGTCAGGAATGATTAAAGCTGTTTCTTTAGCATGTATCCTTCCTTGTTATAGCTACTACTAGGAAACTTTATGAGAAAAAGCTTTTGAAACTGATGGAACAAGGTCCTGACCTGAAGGCACCTGTGCCTCTCCCAGCAATTTCCGCTACTGAGAACACCAGACAAAATGGAAACAATGATTCTGACCAGTACAGTGACAATGAGGAAGGTAAGACTCGAGTGGAACTTGCATGGGAACAGTTCAAATTATAGATAAGTAATACTTACAGTAGAAATAACCTGAAGAGGTATGATCTTGCTGTTGGGCAAGGCTGTAGGCCATGTCAGTCATGTACTTGATCATGCAGTACCAGCACAGTGATCCAGGTGCCTGTTCTGGGAAAGGAAACCTTTTGCTACTGACTTGGTCCCTTTTATCCATTTTCCCTAGACTGGATGGAGCCTGTAAATCCAATAGACAGGAGAACTACATATTGGGCGTTTCAATGTTCTTTGCACTTCATACTTAAGTACTAGTCCAATTTTGTCTTATGGTGCTCACAGTAGTTACTTACTGTGGGATAGTGAATGAATGTTTGTTTATTAAATTTTTGTTCTTTTTTGTTTAATGGCTAACACTTATGATTCAGCCCCTTTTATGCTCTGTTCCTTATGGTCTTAGTTGGGGGTGGGTTGATTGGTTGGTCCTGGGTGTGTGTTTTTTGGGTTTTAATATCAAGTTCGTATCAAGCATGTGTAGTGTTGGGGGAAGTAGAACTGAGAAAACACCATTGTGCAATTTACAAAAAATAAAAACAGCACAGGTTTTAAAAAATGTGCTTGAATGGATTGTTAGAAGATGCTTATTTAGTGTGGTTTGGTTTTGGGAGTGGGATTGTGTTGTTTTTTACAGGAATTTCCATGGACATAGGACAGAAAGGGTTGAAATACAAATAATAATTAGATTGATCTCCCTTGCATATTTGGGCTTATTTTTCAACTTTTGTATCTTTCACTTTTAAGAGGGAAAGGATATTAGACATTGATTTATTGTTTGGGACAGCCAAGAGCCCAGTCACAACTGGCAGCTAACTTCTTATAATTACATATGCATTATATAAATACTGAAGTGTTCACATACTGGGAAAAAAACTTAAACCCAAACATTCCCCTTCTCCCCTACAAAAAAAAAAGTTTTTTGTTAATAAATCTTAAATATGTTGATGTAAAGCTATTAGAATTTTAGAAAAGCAGTGTAAGTAAAGTATCCTTTTATGGGTGAGATGACTGCTAACTACTCTCCTTTCTACTGCATCAAAAATGGGGTTTTATATAAAAGGACATATATTAGAGGAAACTTGGCTAACAATTTCAAACAACATCAACAAGCTTCAATACCTTTACTACAATCACTAATAGAATGGTACTTTGGTTAAAGGAGTTGCAATTTGATAGCAGTATCTAAATGTACTTGCTGGATTTTTCAAGGCTTATCTGAAATGTAGGATTTTTAGCAAAAAAAGTAAATATGTGGATCAGTGCTTTGAACTAATTTTAAGGCTATTCTTCAAAAGTCTTTGTTCTTATAAATTTAAAGTATAAGAAATACACCTGTTTCACAGCTTTTTAAAGAAATGTTAACTCATAAGAGTTATGTTGTCTCTCAAAATGAATTTTTATTAAAATACATTTGGTTTCAACTAGTACAATAACCAGTAGTATTATAGAAACTAGTTATATTAAAACTGGTTGCAGATCCGAAGGCTGAGCTGAGGCTGGAGAAGAGAGAACCTCTGAAAGCCAGGACGAAGACACCAGTAGCACTCAAACAAAAAAGAGTCGTTGAACACAACCAGGTATGTTTGTCATGGTGGCACGTGGAACAGCTACTAACTGCAGGTGATGTGCTCACTAAACACCTTGCTACCTTTAACATCACATTTGACTAAGTGAGCCATGATGGTTTTTAAAAGTTCTTTTAGAAAGCCTGTTCTAACATAGCATGAAAATCTTGTGAATTAACTATAATGGCTGTTTTTAGCATGTCTGATAATGTTCAAAGTTATGGTCTGCTAAAAGCTGTTTGACTTGCCAGCTGCTGTAGCACCTCCTGGAGAAGAACAGTAGGCAACCTTAACATGTTTAGTTTTGGAGACCTGGCAGATTTAAATCACATGGGCTGATGGCTTTCTGTTGGGTGCTCACAATCAACTTGATTTAATATAAGCAGTGGTTTCTCAAAAAAAGAAAAGTTAGGAAAAAGGAATCTGTGGGAGTTTTTGGTTTTTTTTAACAAGTGTTTTTAAATACGTACATCTATATATATGATTAGATATCTACAGATACAGGTATGCATTTTAAATACATCTGTTTAATGACTCATTTAAATGTAATTTGTGAAGTAATGTATTTGGGTATATGCCTGTATGTACAGGTGTGTGGATGTGTGTACACACATATGCTATCTATGTGCTATGTAATGTTTTTTCTTCAACTATGTTTGTAGCAGCAGTACTAGAGTAGACCAAAATTTGTTGAAAAACTTCTCCTGTGAAGAAAAAGAATAAATAACAAGTGTAGATCTCCCACCTGTATATACCACCTGTTCTTTACTTATAAATATTAGTTCTGCTCTCTTGATGGAAGAGGCATTTTACAGAAGCACCTCTGATTTTCAAACTGCTGAATGCAGGGTTTGGTAGTTGATGGTGATCTGTCCATCTGATGTGAAAGTGTCACCAAATACCCTCTTCCCCAGCTTAGGATACTTAAGAGTCTTTAGCGTGTTGTTCATCTGTCCAGGTAGTAGTGGAGTTATGCTACAGGCAGTAAAGGACTTGTAAAGAAACAGTGACTCAGAATCTGACTTGTTAATTGCTTAGTGTATTTTAGCAGATCGCAGTGAATTTTCTTAATACTTTGTTAAATGCCAGATGCTTGCTATTTAGATTCTGGGCGTATATGTATAAACATGCTTTAGCTATGGGTGTCTCTTAAAGCAGGTAAAATGTTGCTCTATGACCTTGAGTAATACAGCACAGCTATGGAGATCCATAACTAGTTTGCATACTTTAAGGTGGAGTTTTAGGGTGCAAGCTGAAGAGATTTGACTTCAAAAAATTAAAACACACACATAGTTCAATGGACCAAACATTCTTTAATTTAATCAGGCAACATCTGCTTGTAATGGTCTTTATAATGAGCATCTTAATCTTTAGATTCTTGTATTTTAGGAATCACTTTTTTCAAAATTATTATTCTGCCAGAAATCCCTGTCAGCTTCAGTGTAATAAAGATATTTAATTCTGCTGTCAGCAAACAAAACTTGTAGCCTTCAGGAACTCACAGAATAAAAGAGATTTAGTGAGGTACTTTTGTGGCATTTTGAGTGATGATTTGTTTACTCAATTTTTTGTCATCCAGTTTCACTCTATTAGTATCAGGTCGTTACTCTTTTGGCAATCTTACACATGCAGTACAGATGCAATATTTTGCAACTTGCATATTTTAATTACCAGGAGTTAATCAAAAGAATAATCAAAAAAATCCAAAATTGCCAAATTCTTCAGAGACTCTCTTTAGTTTATTAAACCTTTTACCTTTGAACTTCTGATTGTTTCTTGGGTTATTTTTTGTGTTTTGTTTTTTAATACAGCAGACAAAACCTCCTAAAAAACCCAAAACAAACAGCCCCACCCACCCCCAGTTAAATTTTGCAGCTCTTGAAGCCAAGAACAACTTAATGCTTTTGGCTAGCAAATGTGTGTAGTCATGTATTTTGCTGAGAACAAAACCAGAACGTGGAGAAGAGCTTTTTTCCCTCCTCTTATTCCTGTGGAATTGCATTGTAGGTTTTCAGCAATGTGTCTAGGGACTATACTCATGCTGCAGAACTATTTCAGCTGTTGCGCATTGGCACAAAGATGGAGTGTCTGAGGCACGGTGAGGCTGAGCTGGTGGGCAGTGTGGTGTGAGCAGACTTGCTAGTTACTTCTAGGTCCTGTGCAGCACTGCTTTTAGACCAGACGTACGTAGCTTACAGGACTGTTTGTCATTTGGCATGGCTGGATGTAGCTGCTCTCTTGAGAAGAGTGCAAATAGATAGATAGTTATTAGGCAGACTGCTGCAAAAGAAATTGGGTGGGGAGGTTGAATATGGGTCTTATCAGTCAGTTGGCGGTGGAGGGCTGGAGGAACTTGAGCTCAGCTGTGTGTTTAATTACCTCTTTTTACATTGTAAAAAGTTGGCAGAAAACCCTAATTTAGATGCCCTCCACTAATCCAGTAGGTGAATCTAGAGTAGGCGTTCAAAACTGAGCCTGACATGTCATAGTAAATGGCATTGGGCAGAAGGAGGCAGGCTAAACAATGTTAAATGTTAAGGAGCAATGTAGAACTAGTCTCTCTCCTGAAATTTTGTACAGTGACATTCTGCATGTGCTGTGTTCCCCTACTCCTCCCTGTATTTTTTTTTTTTACTACCTGTATAGTAACTTGATAAGTGATAGGTGAGGTAAAGTCATAATCTATAGCTCCACTGCTCATGAGTTATTTGACAGTTAGAAGCAGACACTGAGCACTGCTTGTGTACCACACTGTTGTAGTTTTTCTGGTTATGTTACAGGGTGTTGGTGTACCCAACATGAGCATTACATTTTGATAGGGTTAGAGGTCTGCTCTGTTGACAGCAAGGATAATTATAATTGTAGACAACAAGTTTTATTTCTTCTTTTTTTGTCTGTTGACTGTGTTTTACTGAAATCTGGATGGGTTTTATGCAGTAGATTCTGGTTTTTCCTAGACTTTTCATGCAATAAAAAAATGGAAAGTTGGTACTTAAAACATATGATTAAAGCATCTGAAGAAGAGAGGCAGGTTTTAGTGAAGTGCTTCTAACTTTCATTAGAAGATAAGTAATTAATAATCAAATAATCTGGAATGGGGAGCTCGTGGTTACTAGTATAAGTGAATTTGCCTTCCTCCTTTCTGGAGTAGATTGTTGGAGTAGAAACACTCTGAAATTAGTATTTTTTTCTCTAAGCTTCTAAAGAACATCTCTCAAATAGAAGGTGTGTGGGGTTGAGGTGGGGAATTGTGATTATAGGTTGCAGGAAGGAATAGAATGCAGTGTCTGGTAAATATTTAAGAAGGAGTTAGAAGATGTTTCATGAAAAGTCCATTAAAATTGTAAAGAATTTTGGAAAATCAGGCTGAAATCTACAATTCTTGAAAAAAAAATCTGAATCTGTTTGGACCTGAGGTCTGTGCATTTGTTTTATTAAGTACTTCAGTGACTTGGCAATGAAGTGAAACACTTGTGCTCCCTCTGCTGTGTGTGTAGTAGCTGTTAGACAGAATTTGTCATAGAACCTTAAAGCAGCTCAGCATCTAGTTTTACTGTCCCCTTTCAATTAATACTTTTCAGCCAGTTCTCTTAACACATTGTTTTGGGGCTGGTACTGTTCTAGTGAAGTCATTTCCACTATTGAACCTGTAACTGACAGTTGCAGTGTATAATTTTATTTAGCAATGAGTGTAACTCCCAAAAACTTGGTAATACATCACTCTGAGGTATTAACGTGCAAAGATAGAAGTATTAAAGTAATAATTTTTATTTTTAAGCTTAACCAAATAAAAAAGAAAATCTTGTATGTAATCTAGATGAAGCAGATCCACATCTCTCTTTCCATCTTGGAATTAGTTTTGAGGGGAATATTTGCTTTGAGCATGAAACTCGCAGTAAAGCATAGGGAATGATGTGCGTTTGTTAATGGCTATAAAAGTTTGGTGCTTCATGCTGTTACTTCAATTTGTGAGAGATTTGTGTCAGGCTTGATTGTTTAAACCTGCTGTTATGTAAAATTGTTAGTTTCAGCCCTGTACATTGAAACTTTTTAAGATCATTAAGTGTCTCTCCCTGACCCTTGTGGCTCAAGACTAGTTCCTGTTGAAACATAGGTGGCTGTGCATAAAGTGTGCCCACCTCTGCTTGAGATAATAGAACCCGATCTGTTTAGAGGAAAAGGTAATGCTTTCTGCTTATGCTCATAGATTTATTTTGTGTGTGTGTGTAGGCAGGAAATGCAATGGGACTGAAAGCTTTGTGTCTACTGTCCATGACTTGATGTAACTCCTCGTGTTAGCTCATTCTAGGGCAGTGAGGAAATTAGCAGTTTTTACTGTTGGACATTATCTATTCGGTTCTGTATCATACAACAGTATGCTCAAATATAAGTATTCTGGTCAGTGCTACTAATCTAGCTAGCTATTAATTATTGAATGCATTAGGATCCACAGTTTTTTGATTGTAGACATGTTGCTTCTGGAGTATGCATGCTATTTTGGCTTTTGGTTGTGAGTATCCGATGTTTGGAGCTGGTTTTCATGTGTATGATCATGTGTTTGATGCTTGAATAGACCTATTCTCAAGATGGAGTTACTGAGACTGTCTGGACAAGTGGATCTTCAAAAAGTGGACCTCTGCAGGCATTTTCTAGGGAGTCTACAAGAGTGTCAAGAAGAACACCAAGAAAAAGGGTGATGAGAGGCTTTCGTAATAGACAAGCCTTTTTTTTTTTTCTCTCACTCTTCAGGTCCCAGTGGCTCTTTTATTCAATTGTTGTCTTTTGTTTGTTTTAAACAAACAGGTGGAAGCTACAGCACAGTTGCCTATAGATGATGCAGTAATATCAGAGAGTACTCCCATAAATGAAACTGTATTGGCTGCGAGCAACGAGACCCTAGTAAATATGTTTAATCAATTGTGGTATTTTTCTGTAATGTATCCACTGACAAAATCATTCTATTTTGGTCAAATAGAAGACTGTTTTAAGGAAAATAAGAGTATTCAGTAGTTTTTAGAAACACAGTATCTGTTTTAGTACCTAATACTCTTCACTTTGAGATGGGACTAAGTCAACACCTAGGTCCCATCTAATGTCATTTTTCGGGGGGAGGGCTGAAAAGAACCACTTCAAAAGCTTAGATACTTTATTTAAGTACATGCAGAATATTTGCTTTGAAGTTTGGCTTTTCTTGTGAACTAAATAGCTTTTATGTTTCTAATTGACTTAAGAGAAACTACTTGGAATGATAAGCAGTGTGTTTCCTTTGCTGATCTTGGAGCATCTTTTGCATAACCTTCTTCAGTTAACTTCTAACATGCAATTCAATGCACATAAAGGTTTTGTTTTTTGGTTCTGCCACCTTGCCCCTTTTCATTTTGTATTTTGGCTGTTTCTGAGTTTGAACAATTTTGAATCTCGGCAGGTTGGCAATAGGGTGCCTGGAAATTTCAAGCATGCAGCTCCTACACTGTCAGTCAGTGAACTCTCAGACATGCCCAGAAGAACACCAAAGAAACTACTGATGTCAGCCGAAGTAAATAAATTAAAACTTAGATTGCTCTTCCTTACTCTCTGTGAACAAAATTCTTGTGTGTATGTGCTTACTTCTTAGTAAAGAGGGGGTGGAGAATGTCACTGCCCAGATGACACCAGTCAAAATTAACTAGTGTTGTCCCATGACGTAAAACAGAATATAAACTCATTTTCATCTTCCCCTTTCAGATTTGGGTGTGTGTGTGAATCTGATTTTTCTTTTTTCCTAAGACAAATATGTTTTGATGTGTTATTTCTCCTTGTGCTGCTATTTTTCTGAACAAAATGTAGATTTTTTTTTTCTTTTAAATTCTTCATAGGTCAAAGTACAGTAGACTTGGGTTATCTCCCTTTGAGCTTGTAAATCAGCCTATGCTGAAAAAACGCAATGTGCTTTAATTTAGGGAATTAAGTAGTAGAATTACTTTAGACCAAATGCCTGAATTAAAAAAGCATCTGTAGATTCTTGACAGTTATCAAGAAAGAAAATAATTCTTTTACTGTTAACCTATTCAATCTGTCAAAAATTACATCTCTTGGAGAACTGTCTAAAGCACCTGCAAGTATATGTGATTGTATTAATGTAATACTGTAATGTGGAATTTTACATTACAAGATGCTGTTTGTCTGTTCATGTAGCTCTAGATAAAGCTGCTATTAACACTTCATTTACAATATGACTGCAATGTAGACTTATTTGTTAAATAGAATGTTGTGGGTTAACTTGATGTTCTATTCCAAACTGCTGATGGGGTATTTCAGTTAGTGCTTTACTGTACTGTGGTTTATTACAGCATACTATATGGTTTATTACAGCAAGAAGAGACAGATTGCCCACATCAGTGCTTTTTAAATCATGTTGGTCACAACCAGTCCTGTGATCTGCTCAACACAGCCATGATAGAGGTGATGGTTAAGTTTTTATGATCATCTACATCATTGGCTCACAGGTGTATAGGATTTCTACAACTTGTTCTTTATCTTAAAGGAAACTGAGGCGATCACTGAATGCTTTAAGACACCACAAGTGACTGGATGGCTGCCAATAATTAAGGTTAAACTTCTAAAACCCAAGAAGTAAACTTCTTGAATGGCACTGGGTGACTCATTCATTCTTACAAATTGCACATGGTAGTGGTCACTGAGCTAGCTTTGCAGAAACTCTTTGTTTTGCTGTCTGTTTGGTCTCTAACTGTTTTTTGGTTTCCTAGGTGCTGGAGAGAGCTACAGAAGAAAGAAGAGTAGAAAGGGATATTCTTAAAGAATTGTTCCCTTATGAAGTATCAACACCTACAGGAATTAGGTAATTCTAGGGTTTATGGGGGCTTTTTTCTCAGTTCTTGTAAACCTATTTAAGCTGAGAAATATATTTTGATTATATTGATAGATTTCTGAGGAATATTTTTTGCACTCTGGCTCACTGACATTTGTGACAGCCACCTATTCTTCCATTCTACATACGTAGATTTGTAATGAAAACAGCTTTCTCTCTATTGAAATTGGAGGAAGGAGAGCCGGGTGGTACTACAGTAGGAATTATTACTGGAATTTCTGGGTGGTGAAAGCTAAATGGAAAGGGCTTTTCTGTGGTAATGACTTGCAATGTTTAAGTTTTTGACAAGATGCAACTGCTTAGGCCTGCTGTAAATTAAGGAAAGATCTCGCAGCATATATTTGAGTTTTCTTTTGCAAAGCAAGAAAGAACTTTCAGATACCCTATTTTTACCTTTAGGTGGCAGTCATACTGATTATTCTTAGCATGAGTAAGGATGGCAACTAGGAAAGGCTATTACTTGTGCGTTTTGGGGGTTTTTTGTATCTTTATATTTAAACAAAAATTGAAGCAACCCTCTGGTTAATTAGGTAATTTTAAAAATTGCTCTGTTTAGAGCATATGAGAAAAAGTTTCCCATGTTTAGATGTGAAATCATCTCCTGTGTTTCCAACATATGAATTATAGCTTTAATTTAAACAGCAATTGCATAAACTCTTAACCATAAGGAGAATATATAGACCAGTTGCTACTGCTGTAGTGTATCTGCTGACCACTGAAGTTTGCTCTCCTGTTTTGAGGTCTAGTTAAATCTGTACCACTTTTTCTTCTCTTTTAATTAAAGATCACATATGTGTACTCCTTGTATAGAGGAACATGGCAGTGTACATGGGGTTTTTTAGTCCTGACTGCTTTGTCTTTTGGCTCTGTGTATTGGCTTAGCCATCAGTTGATATTTTATTTGTCTCAGAGATAATCTTATGTTTGGAAATCCCAGCGGGGCTGCAAAAGCAATGATTAAAAAAAACAGACAGAGGGAGACACTTTCTACAGTTTGATTGCCAGCTATGATAATTTTTATGTGGATAGGGTGAAGTAGCATTTGAGGGGCTTTTTTTAGAGAGTTTGCTTGAACACTGAATTATTAACTTAACATGTCTGTCAAGCTTCAAAAGTAGTATTACAGGGACTGTATTCACCAGAAATCATTCTTAGTTCTTTAATTATACTAAAACTTCCCTATGTACTTTAGATTGCTCTTTTAAATATGCAGTATTTCAATTTGATTTTTTTTTATTGACAGTGCTAGCTGCCGTAGACCAATCAAAGGAGCTGCGAGCCGGCCTCTAGAGCACAGTGACTTCATACTGGAGGAAAGTTACTCTAAGTATGCACAAAAATACGGTACCTCGACTGACATCAAGTCGGAGAAACCACCAATAAAAAAAGAACGCCCTGTTCCCCTGTGGATAAAAGTTCTTCTCTTTGTTATTGTTTCAGTCTTCATGTTTTTGGTTTATCAGTCAATGGAAACTAATCAAGGAAATCCTTTTTCTAAATACATGAAAATGGTCACTCCGGGCAGTGCCGAATGAATATATCTTTCTGAAAGGCACACCCAATTTGATCTCCTGTTTTTTAATTGTAGAGAACTCTTCTGCCCTCTCATCGGCTCAAGGACTTCTTACAAATAATGTGATTGGAACCTGATAAATTGGATAAATGAAGAAAGATAATATTAAATGGACATCGGTAACTTTCTGGACTTTGGACAAGTAGGAGATCACTGCCATAGGAGTAACATTTTTTTAAATCTTGGAACTTTTTGTAGGCTTTATTTTTTTAATGTGGACATCCTTTAAATTCACTTTTGAGAAAATGTATATTTGTTTTTGCAAGAACTTGGAAGCTGAGAAGGGCAAAAATGTAGTAAAATGTGAAGCTGTGTTTTTAAAGCTTTTCCTTTGTACAGAAAAGAAGTTGTTCTTCTGTCTCTAGACTATAGTGGAGAAGGATTTTAACATGGGTAAAGGGAAATGCATTTCTTTATGCATTTTTCAGTAACAATATAACTGAATTTGATCTCTTAGGATGTAGAGAGAGTACAACAGCAACCTTTTCTGTAGATTACTGTAACTTTTTAGTAAATGTAACTGTAAACCTGTTTGCATTTCTGTAACAGTCTTAGTATCATATTAGTAACTCTGTTTAAGTGTAACTTCATTTAAATGTATCCCTTCATTTTAGTGCTTACAGTGTTGTAGCAGCTGAATACAAATCTAATTGGCAAGACATGTCTTAGAGGAACTTATTTATTAGTAATATGTGTGGGAAATAAAAACGACATCATAATACTTTGCTACTAAAATACTTTTTTGGGTCAAGATTGTTATCTGAAGCAGTCAAAATTCCAACATTAGCAGTGGTCTTTTTTTCTTTTTTAAAAAAGCGAGGTCTTTCCAACACAGCTTTATGTGATTATCTTTAAATATTCATGTAGAGAAGTATTCTCAAAGTGTGAAAATTCCATATGAAGTTTTATTCTTGTATGAAGAGGGCATTGCTGCATTTTCTGCTAGTTTCATCTTTTAAGGTGAGATTTACTACTTTCATGCCATTGACTGTTTTTCTCAGTGGAAGCATGCTGAAACACTCTCTGTTGTGTAACTTGGTTGAGCAGGCAGCTGACTTCACTACTACCAATGAAGAGTGATAAGCAAAAATCTTTTCAAAGTGAATGTATACATTTTTGGTGTGCTTAAATCTGCAGCATACAGATGTTCAGTCTTATTGCTTGGTACAAAATTGCAATAAATCATACTACTTATTCTTAAAGTGCTACTTATAAAAAGCTGAGAACATTAGTTAATAGTCAATATCTTTTTACTCTAGGTACAAATATTGTGTAGACTATAGCTATGGGGAAGCTTTACTTTCTGTGAACTTTGGGACAAACTTGGTAATTTGTAGCAAAGCAATAGTTTTGGGGTTTTTTTCCTGTTTAATGGGTTTTTTTCCTTCTAAACTGCTTTTTTGAGTAATCCAAATAGCTAAACTTGTGTCCATCCTATAGGGAATTGTAACATAAGACATTCACTTTTGGTGTCAAAAATGGAGAAAAATAAAAATGATTTTAATGTGTGTGGATTTTCCTTATCAAAATAAATGCATTGCTGAAAGGCAGCAAAAGCAAGACAAATGATGTATCAGTGGTGTCATTTTGTGCAGCTACCATATTGAAAAAAAATCTGATAAGCTCAGGTCAGTTCATATCACCTGGTGGGAGGAATATCATCATATTTGCAGTATCAGTTTTGTGCCATACTCCTTTAGCCTATGTCAGGCCTTTAGTTTGCATGGGGGGAGAAGATAGCTTTCATTTGTTCTTCAATGCTAAAGGAACTTCTTTAAATTATTTCTCACAACACTTTGCATGTTTCAATGTAAAATAAGTCTCTTTCCTAGTTACATGAAATACTCCAGGGATACTATTAACATCATCAAAGAAAAAAAGCAAGCTACAATCAAAACATAATGCAAACTGAATTATGTTACAGTTAAATGTCATCATTCTTTCATTTTTGCACTGTTTTGGAGAATGCTCTCAGCTTCAGTGTTACCACAGATTATAGTTTATTAGAAAGGTCCTCAAAGTAACCCACATCTAGTTCAGTTGTAGTTGGAAGGCATTGCATCTTCAAGAAAGGAAGGGGGTTTTTTTTTTATATTTCATACATTTAATGGTGTGAGGTAGTCCTGAGAGTAGGATCTTTCTCCTGACCCCAAAGCTGAATTTTTCATGGTATTCTAAGAGTAACACATAGTACTGCTATGAGCTGTATGTGCTTAAAGCCTTCTAAACTACTGCTGTATAAGTTAAGCTGGAGTATATAATTATACTATAGTCTCTGTACCAAAGTGCTGAAGCAATAGGCACTGATGGTCCTTTTTTTCTTCCTTTTACACATTCTCACTTTTGTTTCATGAGTTCATCTTGTTTTTTAGACAGAGCCAGCTTGAACTTTCAGAAACAATGTCAAAATAGAGCAACTTTATGGACTAGTACCCAAAATCCAGTTGCAAAAATGAGTGGAGTTCTGATGTAGTAAGTATGATTTCAGAAGTCCTGTTGAGGGTAAGGGCTACAACAAGTCTGGGAAAGGTCTGTGGAAGTTAAATGGGCATGACAATGTTATTTTGAGTTTGGTTCTCATGATTGGTCATACTGCTCAGAATGCTGTGCTGAAAATCTGGCAGGTCTTGGTTTCCTGTCTGAATTAAGAGTTAACACAGCTTATATTTTCCCCTTTAAATTCTGTACTAATCTTTCAACATGCATCCAGTCTTGGGAGCCTGGCTGGTGTCAGGCTGTGGATCACTAGAGGATTTCACTTGCAGTCTTGAGATTAATCTTACAGCATCTGATCCATGGTGTGAATGTGAGAGCTTCAGTAGTGTCTAAGAGAACATTTTCAAGAAGGATCTTAAATTCTCTGTGTGTTTTAAGACCTTTATTTGTATTTGCATAAGAAACAGCTTGAAAGAACTTCTCTAAGTTTACTTGCTAATAGCATGCTCAGCACTGCCCTGCAGAATGATTTCAGATCCCTCCTGAGCTTGGTCTATATGGTTTGTTTTGTTTCCTGTGGCATACCTTACAAAACTCTTTATGTATTAAAATTCTTGCGAATTACCTTCTCAGCTAGTTTTGTGGACAAGATATATTCTAAAAAATACTTTAATAGTTTATGCAGAGTCAAAGCAAAAAAGCTGAGTACAAAAAGAATGCCTTTAAATAATACAGGTCCCTAAGAAGACTTGGCAGTAAAATTTATGTAATTGCAAATTAAGCTGGTAAAATTGTGTGGCATTTCTTGTGCATGGTACATTTGGCTTACTTTGATATGTCTCAAGTAACATATTGGGTGAAATAGATACATAATAGATGTATAATTTAAAATTTTGTGTTTGCACAGGTAGGTGTTTCAGCATACCCTTTGTTGTGTCTATACCCTTTGTTGTCTGTTATTATGGCTTTTATTGTGTGTTTGGTGAGTCAACTATCTTTGTCTAAAACTGTCCTTTGACTTGCTTATCTTTTTCCTGAGGGAATTTACCAGGCTGCTTTGCAACAGCAAATTACTACAATGGATATGTACATGCATATTTCAGAGAGCACAGTGTCTCCAAGCTAATTGACCTGAGGGAATTTACCAGGCTACTTTGCAACAGCAAATTACTACAATAGATATGTACATGCATATTTCAGAGAGCACAGTGTCTCCAAGCTAATTGAACTTTAAAGGAGTCCTAAGGTGGCATAGAAACCTGTAAGTACTGTGTATATGCTGATATAAAAATAAATCCCATGAGTTTTCTGTTCCACCTCACTTTGCGATTTTATTAGCATTGGTAGCCTATGGTTAAAACATTATTTGTTTGTTCTTTAGGAAAAAAAATGTGATGTTTAAGAGATAAACCAATGTGTGAGGAGAATTTTTAAAAAAATTATTATTAGGTTTGTTCTTTAGAAAAAAAAATGTGATGTTTAAGAGATAAACCAATGTGTGAGGAGAATTTTTTAAAAAATTATTGTTAGACATATTCATGGCAGCAATTAACAAGCATAGAGGTTTCACTACTTTCTGTGTTTCTGAGAACATGTGACTGCTGTTCACCATTGGAAGCTTAAAAAAATTATTATTAGACATATTCATGGCAGCAATTCACAAGCATAGAGGTTTCACTACTTTCTGTTTCTGAGAACATGTGACTGCTGTTCACCATTGGAAGCTTGGATCCTGGTGAAGGAAATGCTGCAAGCTAAGGTTTCCCTTGGTCTGTACAATATGATCCATTACTGATTCTAGAACCATGGTCTTGTAGTTCTGATGTTGCAACAAGGAAAGTGTGTGTAAAATACAAGTTTACCCAAGCAGATGCTGCTCTGCTAACCTGGTTATAAGAGGTGTGGATGGATGGTTGTTTCAGTACCCCTCCTATATTTCTGAAAACAAGGTCACCTGGGAAACAAGCTCCTAAGAGCTTTGATTTTGCTTGCAGGTTCACCAAAATGTTAGAACTGTGAAAAGTTACTGTAAGACAAGAACTAGCCTGCATTTTCTTGATTGTATGCAGCGTGAGGCGAAATTGGGGTGGGAAATGGAGAGGGTATGTGGTGGGTGTTAAAACACAAGGAGAGATGCTCCAGAGTTGCAAACGGAAATTTTCCTAACCTCATAAAACATATAGGACTATTGATTAAAAAGATGGATTTAATTTACAATAGCTCTTTTTACTCTGAATTGGACAGAGGTTGACACTAGAAGGTAACATCTTTCAAGTGTTCACCTATTACTACCTGCAATGTCTCTCAGAAATTAATTAAATTAATCTAGGTGGTTTGAATTACAGGTTATTGCTATTTTATTCCTTCACATCTGAAAAAGTGGTAAGTATTTTCTTGGTGAAATTATATGTATTCAGTAAGAACATACATTAGCCCTGTATTTTCATGGGGCTATGCTGTTTAATAGTTCTTGTTAATAGTACAGCTCTAAGAAATTAGTTGTCTCTTAAAAACCAAACTCTCAGTTTGTTCCAGAAAAATTCTACAGATTAACTCATAAGCATCTGTATAGTTGTGCACATAACGTGCCATTAGATGTCTATAAGTAGTCTACTCATCCTTTCTAATTGGAAGGAACAGAGGTTTTCTATATGTTAAAAATCAGAAAAGTCTGCAAGAACTGTAATCATTTATATGCAGTTGCAAGATAAGAGCCCAAATCTCAATCATCTTTAGAGGTTACCATCTAGTTGAAAATAAGTGTCAGTGTTTGGCTTTTAAATAAAACATAGTTACAAAGAGTTGTTTAGAGGCAAGTGAGTAGAGCAGAACAATAATGGCAAAATTCACAATTCTAGTTTGTTTTCACTGGTGCCACTGGCAATGAATTCAACAGTAGTTTGGGCTCTCAGCTGGTAGCTAAATTAAAGTATTTGAAGATTGCAGGTTTCATTTGTCCTTTTCCTACTTGAGCAGCTGGGGTGTAGTTTATTCAAGACGCACTTAACCAACCTTGATATCTTTGTCAATGCTATTGGGCACTTTTGTCCTTGTAGGACAGTCTCCCTGGATTCACAACTTTGTTGTGAAATAGAGCAATTAGAACCAGGGTTTAAGGGCCTTCCTTGGAAGTTTGATAGGAGCCCCTTAGCTGACCAAAGCAGGGATGTTTCTTCAGTGTGGTGCTGCTGGTGTGCAGTCATTTGTCCAGAATGACATCCCATCCAGAGCTGGGATGCTCACCACATGTCTCTTGCTTTCCTGGATTCTGTGTGTATGCTGTTGCAGAGCGCTACAATTGAAAGTATATGATCAAAACAATGAAAAAGTGGAGTTATTGCCTCTCCAGTAACTGGAGAGCTGAACTTGTCTGTGCTAGTCTTGTACGATGTAAAAATGAGTGAAATCACCCTGTGCTGGAAAAGGCATAGTTAAAGATAGGTCAGGCCAAGCGCGGGTCCTGTGTTATGGAATATTCTGCTTTTAATAAACTAGTAAGAAACAATTCTGTGAGCAGCTGCAGCCCTTGTAGCATAGGCTGTGTCACCGAAGGGGCAGTGCCTGGTGCTAGATCTGCCCGTGCCTGGGCTGGCAGAGTTCTCAGCCAGAGTCTGGCGAGAGGGGTGAGCTTTGTGCTCAGGGAACTGCAGCCTGTGTTCACCAGACTGGGATCACAGTGTTACTGCATGTGACTACCACACGTGGAAACTGGGGTGACACCGAGGGCTTCTTTACACTAATCTTAAAAATAGGTGCCATGCTAGGGGTTGGAGTGCTCTTCCCGCTCTGGTATTTTCACGATTCGGAGTGAGCGAGCACAGCACGGGTCAAGGCCGGCACGGGGAACTCGCCTTCGGGCGTGTCTCTGGTTTGACATTGCCCGGGGCAAGGCTGCGGGAGGCACGTGGCGCCGCGGGCAAGCGCCCGAGCGGAGCGGCGATAAGGAAGGAGCACAAGCTGAGGCGCGGGGTTTATCGCGGCAGGCCGGGCTCACAAACACGAGAGCAGCGGGCCGCAGCGAGCCAGCGCCGGCGGAGCCCCACCCGCGGCCGGGCCCGGGCGCTGAGGGGTGGGCTCGGCCCGAGCGCAGGCGCCGCGCATGCGCGGCGGTTGGCGCGGCGCCTCCGCCA